AATGAAAATTGTGTTTGTAAATGATCATAAATCAAAAAATCCAGTGTCAGAAGTTCCTCAGATCATGACTGACATGAGAATCCACAATGTTTCTCACTCTTCTCACTATTTTATTTACACCAAACATCCAAACCCGACTGTGTCCAGGTTTAGAGTTTAGAAAATCTGCTCCCTCCACGTCTGACACGACAAAACATCTGCAGATTCACCAGAGACATTTGACCTGCTCCACCTCAGTCTGACACTCAGGGAAACAAGACGGGAGGGCATCTGACACACAGGGAGGAGGCTGGGAGGGCATCTGGTACTCACGGGTCTGCAGAGGCCCCCAGGCTCAGGGCGAGTACGAGGAGGAGCCGCCTCCACCACGAGCTGCAGCCAGGACCCATGTCTGAACCAGACTCACCTCCGACCGCACATATCTGACAGAGCACAGGCCACGCCCACACAGGCCACGCCCCCGCACAGACCACACCCCCACACAGCTCCGCCCACAACAATGAACCACCTTCATGTTATTCATGTTAGTATTTTCTTTTTCTATTCCCATGTGTCTTTATATCTGTGTAAAACAGAACTCAACCAGGGTCTAGTTCGTTGTAAAGCTCAAATGAGGATCTAGTTGTGACTCTAGTTTAATTGTTGATCAGTGATTTGTTTTTGGACGTGTGACTCTGTTGTGTTAAACTCGACCTTTGAACTCTCTGTGCTTCTCTCGTCCTACACAAATTACACTTTTATTTGTTTTTCCAAATAAATTGATTTTCACAGAGGCGGAGTTGAATAAACTGGAGCGGGTCGGCTCAGGGCAGCGGCGAGGAGCAGAGCGCCACGATTCCTTATAAGTCCACTCCGGATCCGGAAGTACAATTTCCATTCATTTTTCTCACAGACTTTTCCAAAAATTCAAATCTAAGGAGCCTTGGTTTAGTTTTAAAACACGAGATTCTGTGAAACGTTTCAATAACTACAGTTTCAGAAACAGGTTAAATAAAACGACAGCTCCTCTGGTCAAACTTTATATCATTTTTTGATTGAGAAATTTACTTCCCGAATGTTACAAACCGCTGCTCCGACACTGACGTCTAATAGATGCATCAAGAATTTCAGACTTCAGGTCATTGCACAATTCATACTGGGAAGGATTTTCCGAAAAAGTGAGCGTCAAACCTCCATGTTTGTTTTCCCAGTGGGATGTGTCTGTTGTCAAAGTCGATCTTTTCAAGTCTTTTGAACCATATCACTTTTGTTTCTGGTTCTGATATTGTCATATTTTAGTTTTGGGATTCGGACGTCGTAATTCTGTGGTTGTTGGATCCTAACAGCGGAAAACAACTCGAGAAATTTGTTTGTGAACTTCCATAAATGCAAAAGTGAATCAGATGTGTGTGACTCAAACCTCTGTTCAAACTGTTTCTCTTCCCAACGGAATTGAAAAATAGTGAAAGGTGAAGGTGATGGGCAGGATTTAAAAAGTCAACGCCAAAGTGAAAGTCTCCAACTGTTCACCAAGAAACACCTTCCACTGCAAAGAGACCAAGACGTGATGTTTCTGTAAAACCACAAGAACAAGAAAGTGCAGCTCAGTCTGTTTGTCTTCTGCTCCTCTCCATTAACAAACGGGATTTTGTTTTGTGTAGTCAGTTCCTGGTGGTGCTCCCTGCGGTGGTGGAGTCTGGGAGTACGGTGAAGTTCTGCATGAGTCTGCTGCAGGTCTCTGAGGAGCTGAACTTCACCGTGAGTCTGATCAAAGACGAGAAGACGAGTTTACTCACAGACACAGTGGACGACGACACAAACACCTGCAGGACATTTCAGGTACTGCACCCTGAGACAGTCCTGGTTTAGTCCTGGTTTAGTCCTGGTTTAGTCCTGGTTTAGTCCTGGTTTAGTCCTGGTTTAGTCCTGGTTTTGTCTTGGATTAGTCCTGGTTTAGTCCTGGATTAGTCCTGGTTTAGTCCTGGATTAGTCCTGGTTTAGTCCTGGATTAGTCCTGGTTTAGTCCTGGTTTTGTCTTGGATTAGTCCTGGTTTAGTCCTGGATTAGTCCTGGTTTAGTCCTTAGTCTTTTGTCTTGGATTAGTCCTGGTTTAGTCCTGGATTAGTCCTGGTTTAGTCCTGGTTTGTCTTGGATTAGTCTGGTTTAGTCCTGGATTAGTCCTGGTTTAGTCCTGGATTAGTCCTGGTTTAGTCCTGGTTTAGTCTGGATTAGTCCTGGATTAGTCCTGGATTAGTCCTGGTTTTGTCCTGGTTTAGTCCTGGTTTAGTCCTGGTTAGTCCTTGTTAGTCCTGGTTTTGTCTTGGTTTAGTCCTGGTTTAGTCCTGGATTAGTCCTGGTTTAGTCCTGGATTAGTCCTGGTTTTGTCTTGGTTAGTCAGTGTCACCTGAAAGTGTCAGATTATTAAAATCAATCAGAGGTTTAAATCGATTAAGAAGATCTTGACCGATAAGGAATCGAGTCAGTTGGAGACAAATAGATTTGGTGGACCACGGTCATGGGTCCAACTGTGAAGTGAATCAAAGCTGCTTTGGTCAGGACGGTGCTGGTGTCAGTGTATGACTGGACTTCAAGAAAGCATGGAGAACATTTCAGGTTTCGTCCTTTTACATGAATCACTTTTCACAATTGATCAAAAAGAATGTTTGACATTACACTGACGTGTGCAGTGGTGCCAAGGACAGCTTCCTGTTGGAGCTCGTTGTCGAGGATGTTGGGCATGTAAAGCTTCTGAGCTGGGCACTTTTTAGTTAGTTTGCACAAAAATCTTTTAAAAGGCCGTTTGGTGTGACTGTCTAGTGCAGGGGTGGGCAAACTTTTTGGCTTGCGGGCCACATAGGGTCCTAAAATTTGACTCAAGGGCTGGACAGAACACAGGACATGACGTGTCAAGAGCTCAGCTGCATTAATTCGTATTTACGCTTATGTAAGAAGTGCACTTCACGCTGTACAACATTGCTGCGAAAACATTCAGAACACACAAGAAGTTAATAGATCTGTTCCACTGCACACAACAGGGAAACAAACACCATGACCTCACCGTTTTCAAATTTGACTCAAAATAACTCAATAACAATGCCAATGCCAAACAATCACACACACATTCATATATGCAGCAAAACTGGACACTATAAAGTCACATAATTCGACAACCACAACATTAAAACTTTATGTTTACATGTTTTTATCAATCAACTTAAAATGTAAGCAGTGCAGCCTTATATCTTGAACATCAGTACTTCACTCATGGTCTGAATGACTCCTGTAAGAACACTTTCCCATAAAGCATTGCGGCCAACATAATACGCCACACCTCAATGTATATGCAGTGCGCCATCTACTGGGAAACGCCGGAAATGCATGACAAATAAAACATCAACAAGGTTTATTATTGTAATTTATTCCAGTTCGGCGGGCCGGATTAAAAGGTTTAAAGAGCCACATACGGCCCCCGGGCCATAGTTTGCACACCCCTGGTCTAGCGCATTGTCATTTTGAAGTTGACTTTCTGAACTTACCTGAGAGGCACTGTTGGGCTTCAAAGCATGTTTGTGCTTTAAGCTGGTTTCAGTTTCTGCCATTTTCACTTCAGATCGACAGATAGAAGTGGCTGTGGGCTCTGGGAGACCAGGACCAAGTTCAACATCCTTAAAGAAGGGAGTTACTTCTTTGGTTTGTTGGTTTAAAATAGCTAAGAGCCCTGAGTAATATTTAAATGTGACTTTTTCACAGATATTGACAGTTTATTTCAGTTAAATATGACTATTATAACCGATTTGACAAAAAGATTTACTAAAAACAAGAAGAATAAATCAGAATTGAATTCCTTGTATCAAACAAAGTTAAAAAAAAAAAAAAACATTATACAGCAATTTAAGACTAAAGGAAGTGGAGATAAAACCTTTTCTTGTTTCTTGTTTTTGGATTTTATGCTCATCGGCCACTAGAGGGCGTCACCAACTTGTCTCCATGGATTTTAAAAAATCTTAGGCCCAAACCTAACACCATGTCAAAAGTCAAAATCTTTTCCAGAAGTGCATGATTTTCATGAATTCCCCCCTGACTGTTGGACGGGAGACAAGGACTAAACCAGGTCTAATCCAGGTCTAAACCAGGGACTAAACCAGGTCTAATCCAGGTCTAAACTAAACCAGGTCTAATCCAGGTCTAAACCAGGGACTAAACCAGGTCTAATCCAGGTCTAAACCAGGTCTAATCCAGGTCTAAAACCAGGACCTCTAAACCAGGTCTAATCCAGGTCTAAACCAGGTCTAATCCAGGTCTAAACCAGGGACTAAACCAGGTCTAATCCAGGTCTAAACCAGGTCTAATCCAGGTCTAAACCAGGGACTAAACCAGGTCTAATCCAGGTCTAAACCAGGGACTAAACCAGGTCTAATCCAGGTCTAAACCAGGTCTAAACCAGGTCTAATCCAGGTCTAAACCAGGTCTAAACCAGGTCTAATCCAGGTCTAAACCAGGTCTAAACCAGGACTAAACCAGGTCTAATCCAGGTCTAAACCAGGTCCAGGTCTAAACCAGGTCTAATCCAGGTCTAAACCAGGTCTAATCCAGGTCTAATCCAGGTCTAAATCAGGGACTAAACCAGGTCTAATCCAGGTCTAAACCAGGGACTGAACCAGGTCTAATCCAGGTCTAAATCAGGGACTAAACCAGGTCTAATCCAAGTCTAAACCAGGACTAATCCAGGTCTAATCCAGGTCTAAATCAGGACTAAACCAGGTCTAATCCAGGTCTAAACCAGGAGGTCTAATCCAGGTCTAATCCAGGTCTAAACCAGGTCTAAACCAGGTCTAAACCAGGACTAAACCAGGACTAAACCAGGTCTAAACCAGGTCTAAACCAGGACTAAACCAGGGACTGAACCAGGTCTAATCCAGGTCTAAACCAGGTCTAAACCAGGTCTAATCCAGGTCTAAAAAAGATCTAAACCAGGACTAAACCAGGGACTGAACCAGGTCTAATCCAGGTCTAACCCAGGACTAAACCAGGTCTAAACCAGGTCTAATCCAGGTCTAAACCAGGTCTAAACCAGGTCTAATCCAGGTCTAAACCAGGACTAAACCAGGTCTAATCCAGGTCTAAACCAGGACTAAACTGTGTCTAAACTGGGTCTAAACCAGGATTAAACCAGGACTAAACCAGGTCTAAACCAGGTCTAATCCAGGTCTAAAAAAGATCTAAACCAGGACTAAACCAGGGACTGAACCAGGTCTAAACCAGGACTAAACCAGGTCTAAAACCAGGTCTAATCCAGGTCTAAACCAGGTCTAAACCAGGTCTAAACCAGGTCTAATCCAGGTCTAAACCAGGACTAAACCAGGTCTAATCCAGGTCTAAACCAGGACTAAACTGTGTCTAAACTGGTCTAAAACCAGGACTAAACCAGGACTAAACCAGGTCTAAACCAGGTCTAAACCAGGACTAAACCAGGTCTAAACCAGGTCTAAACCAGGTCTAAACCAGGACTAAACCAGAACTAAACCAGGACTAAGCCAGGACTAAACCAGGTCTAAACCAGGTCTAAACCAGGACTAAACCAGAACTAAACCAGGACTAAACCAGGACTAAACCAGGACTAAACCAGGACTAAACCAGGTCTAAACCAGGACTAAACCAGGTCTAAACCAGGACTAAACCAGGTCTAAACCAGGTCTAAACCAGATTATAAAAACATTCAGACAAACATGATTCGTTTGTTGTTTGTTTATTTGTAATTTACTGTTTATAAAATGTTCAGTGTTTGTTTGGAGCAGCACACGGGGACGTGTACTCTGTCTCTGCCTCGTCACCTGAACACAACAAAAATACACACATTAGTACTTCTACTCCATGAAAAGTACACAGTATTCAGAGTATTGCAGTAGTGTAGTATTGTAGTACTTGGTTGGTAGTAGTCGTAGATTCTGACCACAGCAGGTTTGAGGCTCTGGACCTGAATTTCCTCAACCAGACGCAGACGGAAGGACACGGGCACATCTTTAGACAACTGTAAGACAAAGACCAGGACTAGACCAGGACTAGACCAGGACTAGACCAGGACTAGACCAGGACTAGACCAGGACTAGACCAGGACTAGACCAGGACTGGACCAGCACTAGACCAGGACTAGACCAGGACTAGACCAGGACTAGACCAGGACTAGACCAGGACTAGACCAGGACTAGACCAGGACTAGACTAGACCAGGACTGGACCAGAACTAGACCAGGACTAGACCAGGACTAGACCAGGACTAGACCAGACTAGACCAGGACTAGACCAGGACTAGACCAGACCAGGACTAGACCAGGACTAGACCAGGACTAGACCAGGACTAGACCAGAACTAGATCAGGACTAGACTAGACCAGGACTTAGACCAGGACTAGACCAGGACTAGACCAGGACTAGACTAGACCAGGACTGGACCAGGACTAGACCGGGACTAGACCAGGACTGGACCAGGACTAGACCGGGACTAGACCAGGACTAGACCAGACTAGACCAGGACCACTAGACCAGGACTAGACCAGAACTAGACCAGGACTAGACCAGGACTAGACCAGGACTAGGACTAGACCAGGACTGGACCAGGACTAGACCGGGACTAGACCAGGACAGACCAGACTAGACCGGGACTAGACCAGGACTAGACCAGCACTAGACCAGGACTAGACTAGAAACTAGACCAGAACTAGACCAGAACTAGACCAGAACTAGACCAGGACTGGACCAGGACTAGACCAGACTAGACCAGAACTAGACCAGACCAGGACTAGACCAGGACTAGACCAGGACTAGACCAGGACTAGACCAGACTAGACCAGGACTAGACCAGGACTAGACCAGAACTAGACCAGGACTAGACCAGGACTAGACCAGGACTAGACTAGACCAGGACTGGACCAGGACTAGACCAGGACTAGACCAGGACTAGACCAGGACTAGACCAGGACTAGACCAGGACTAGACCAGACTAGACCAGGACTAGACCAGAACTAGACCAGACTAGACCAGGAACTAGACCAGGACTAGACCAGGACTAGACCAGGACTAGACCAGGACTAGACTAGACCAGACTAGACCAGGACTGGACCAGGACTAGACCAGGACTAGACCAGGACTGGACCAGGACTAGACCAGGACTAGACCAGGACTAGACCAGGGACTAGACCAGGACTGGACCAGGACTAGACCAGGACTGGACCAGGACTGGACCAGGACTAGACCAGACTAGACCAGGACTAGACCAGGACTGGACCAGGACTGGACCTGGACTAGACCAGGACTAGACCAGGACTAGACCAGGACTAGACCAGGACTGGACCAGGACTAGACCAGGACTGGACCAGGACTAGACCAGGACTGGACCAGGACTGGACCTGGACTAGACCAGGACTGGACCAGGACTGGACCTGGACTGGACCAGGACTGGACCAGGACTGACCAGGACTGGACCTGGACTGGACCAGGACTAGACCAGGACTAGATCAGGACTAGACCAGGACTGGACCTGGACTAAACCAGGACTAGACCAGGACTAGACCAGGACTAGACCAGGACTAGAGTAGATAAGTGTTTTTAAAGTGACCTCTTTGATGTAGAGGAGGATGTGATCTTCGTTCCGCTCCACTCGGTCGACTCCAGACTCAGACTCCAGCTGAAAAAAAACACACACATTGTAGTGGCCAAAATGGTCCGTGTGGCGCTGTGTCTTTGTTTTCTGTGGGTTGTTGTTTATTTAAGTCCATTAATTAGGTTATACAGGTGTTACAAACTGATGAAGAACAGTGTTTTGTCCGTGTTCATGGCTCATGATGAAATAAAGGAATATTTGAGCTTTTACTGGAGTTTTGTCTCATTTATATGGAAACACGTGTCAGGAATGTCTTCATAATCTGGATCCGAGTGGTTTGTGTGACATAAGGCCACACTGCCCCTACACACACGTACATGTATGTGACAAACACACATGTTGTACATGTTTGTACATGTGACTGTGTCCTGGTGTAAAACAGGTGCAGTGTTGTGTTTTGTATTTTTAAGATTATAAAATTCAATATCAAAAATGTTGAATTGTCTCATCTGTTTTCAAACATAAGTCTCACTGGATTATAAGAAGCACTAAGAGAAACAAACAAACGACACTTGAGTCTGATCCAGAGGTAGGCAAACTATGGCCCGGGGGCCGTATGCAGCCCCCCTCTGACGGGGCAGGGGGGGGGTAATGAGCTAACCAGTGTGGGTCCTTGGGCAAGACCCTTCGTGCTACTGCCCACCTCATACAATGATGAGAGAGAAAGAAACGTATGACATGCCGGCTCAGACGTCGCCCGGCCAAAACAAGGTCTGCATCAGGTGCTGGGGAACCAGGGCACCTTGATGAAAAATGGGCTACTGGAACACGGCGGCGAGATGCGAGAACAAGGCTCTGTTGGAATGCTACTACTACAGTAACCCTAGGCAGAGGGGTTACATGAACAGGATGTGGGAGAAATGGTTATTACGATACCCACAGTCCAAGCTAACGGCCAAACAACTAGTAGCTCAGTGTTCCAACATCCACAAACGGCAACTGCTTTCACAACTAGAGATTGATGAGGTACAACACAAATGCCACGGCAAGGGGGAACCAGTGTGCCAGGTCAGAGGGGAGTTGACACCAACTCCCCAACCAGAGATTGGGTACGAAACCCCAATAAGTATCACGCTGAGCGAGGCAGCGACTGACCTGAAAGATAAGATCATGGCCCGAATGAACACAAGGCAACCCCGATGCCGGTTACAGAGGCTAAGTGAAGTACCATCTGAAAGTCTCCTAGACGATGTGAATGCAGCACTGACAGTGATCCCTACCACAACAATCACTGAAACCAATGAGCTGATATACACTTCAGCAGCAGTGATCCTAGATGTGTGTTGGGCTATAAGAGCAACCATGGGAGCCATGCGATACAATACCCACCATGGCAAAGACGGTTAGAGGCTAAAATCAAGGAGGTGCGGAGAGAAGTGAGCCAACTGTCAGAGGCCCAGAAAGGTGCAATGAAAAAGCAAGTGCCCAAGAGGTACAACCAGTTGCCCATACCTGAAGCACTCGAAACTGCCAAACAAAGGCTCCAAGCCTTGGCCAGCCGCCTAAAGAGGTACACACGAGATAACGAGGCCAGACGAATAAACCGGCTGTTCGCAACACAAACCGGTGAAAGTGTACGCTCAGTGGCAGGGGTAATAACAGCAGAGCAGACCCACCAAGGCTGGAGACTGAGAGGTACTGGAAAGGCATATGGGAAAGGGAGGCATCACATAACACCGATGCACAGTGGCTGGTGGATCTGAGAGAAGACCACAGCAACCTCCCTGAACAGAATCCAGTCACCATCACAGTGGCAGACATCCAGGTATGAAAAACTGGACCGCACCGGGCCCTGACATGATCCATGCGTACTGGCTAAAGAAGCTCACTGCCCTCCACGAGTGCCTGGCAGCACAGATGAACCAGCTGCTAAGGGATGGGACTCACCCTGAATGGTTAACCCAAGGGCGTACGATCCTGATCCTAAAGGATCCCTCAAAGGGTGCAGTCCCATCCAACTATCGGCCAATAACCTGTCTCTCCACAACATGGAAGCTCATGTCAGGCATCATTGCAGCTAAGATAAGTGGGCACATGAATCAATACATGAGTGCAGCACAGAAGGGTATCGGCAAAAACACCAGGGGAGCCAAACACCAACTCCTGGTTGACCGAACAGTCGCCCGCGACTGCAGAACCCGTAAGACCAACCTGTGCACTGCCTGGATTGATTACAAGAAAGCCTATGACTCAATGCCACACACATGGATCACTGAGTGCTTGAAGCTGTACAATATCAACAGGACTCTAAGGGCGTTCATTGCGAACTCGATGCGGTTGTGGAAAACCACCCTTGAAGCCAAGGGGAAGCCACTTGCACATGTGTCCATCAAATGTGGCATATACCAAGGAGACTCACTGTCCCCACTACTGTTCTGCATAGGCCTGAACCCCCTCAGCCAAATAATCGACCGCACTGGCTATGGATACCGACTCAGAAACGGGGCCACCATCAGTCACCTCCTCTACATGGATGACATCAAGCTGTACGCTAAGAGTGAGCGAGACATTGACTCACTGATCCACACCACAAGGATCTACAGTACAGACATTGGGATGTCATTCGGGCTTGAGAAATGTAGCAGGATGGTGACAAAGAGAGGGAAGGTAGTCCACACAGAGGGGGTGTCACTCCCAGAGGGAACAATAGCAGACGTTGAGGACAGTTACAAGTACCTTGGTATCCCACAAGCAAGTGGCTCCTCGAAGAGGCAACAAGGAAAGCGGCTACGGCCAAATACCTGCAAAGAGTGAGGCAAGTCCTTAGAAGCCAGCTCAATGGCAAGAACAAGGTGCAGGCAATCAACAGCTACGCCCTGCCAGTGATCAGATACCCTGCAGGGATTGTAAGCTGGCCAAAGGAGGAGATACAGACCACAGATGTTAAGACACGAAAGCTCCTGACCATGCATGGAGGGTTCCATCCCAAATCCAGCACCCTGAGACTGTACGCAGGCCGGAAGGAAGGGGGCCGAGGACTAGTGAGTGTGGGAACCACTGTCCAGGATGAAACATCCAAGCTCCTTGAGTACATCAAGGACAAGGCCCTGGCAGATGAGGTGCTCAGAGAATGTCTCAGACAGTGGGGTCCAGAGGAAGAGGTGCTGGAGGGACCATCATGGCAGGACAAACCCCTACATGGGGCGAACCACCGGAACATAACTGAAGTGGCTGATATCAAGAAATCCTACCAATGGCTTGAGAGGGCTGGTCTGAAGGACACACAGAGGCACTGATCCTGGCTGCTCAGGAGCAGGACCTGGGCACTCGAGCAATAGAGGCCCAGATCTACCACACCAGACAAGACCCACGGTGTAGACTGTGCAAAGAGGCTCCTGAGACAGTCCAGCACATAACTGCAGGGTGTAAGATGCTGGCAGGGAAAGCATACATGGAGCGACATAACCAAGTGGCGGGCATAGTGTACAGAAACATCTGTGCAGAGTACAGGCTGGAGACCCCAGGATCAAGGTGGGAAACACCTCCAAAGGTTGTGGAGAACGACCGAGCCAAGATCCTGTGGGACTTCCAGATACAGACTGACAGAATGGTGATGGACCAACCAGACATAGTGGTGGTGGATAAGAAACAGAGCAGAGCCGTGGTGGTTGACATCGCAATACCAAGCGATGGTAATATCAGGAAAAAGGAACACGAGAAGCTAGAGAAATACCAGGGGCTCAAGGAAGAGCTGGAGAGAGCCTGGAAAGTAAAGGCATCAGTGGTGCCTGTGGTGATCGGACACTCGGGGCTGTAACCCCCAAACTGGAAGAGTGGTTACAACAGATTACCGGGAAAAACAATGGACATCTCAGTCCAGAAAAGTGCAGTACTGGGAACAGCAAAGATACTGCGCAGAACTGTCAAGCTCCCAGGCCTCTGGTAGAGGACCCGAGCTCAATGAGGGTGAGAGAGACCTACCACCGTGGAAGGTGAGAAACACATTTTTTTTATAAATATATATATATATATATATATATATATATATATATGAACACTTTTCTTTCTGAGACAGAAGTCCAATTTGTGATCCAGCAGCAAATTGTGTGTTGTAACCTCCACACCCAGTTCATACCCCTTACGGACGCTGACGCGCTGCTCCAGGTAGGTTGGAGTTCTAATTTTGCAGCGGCAACAGCGCGTCTCCAAGGTTTTTAGCAGGAAAGGACAGGAAATAAAAGCGGTGTCAAAATAAACTTTCGATGGCCTTTCAAAATAACTTAACCAAAGTCAAGACAATGACGTAAACAACACGCACTGCATCCAAGGAACGGCTAATGATGGACGACGAAAAGTTAATTCACTGTGGAGAAATATAACGTGATTTACGATGTCAGACACCAATTCTACAAGGACTCAGGACTAAGCCAGAACTAAACCAGGACTAAACCAGAACCAGGACTCACTGTCTGAATGTGCTCAGAGGTCCTTCCGTGTAGACCCGAGTGACCGCGGGCGAAAGGACCGGTGCAGAGCTCAGAGACGAAGAGGTACGTGCAGCCGTCGCTGTTTTCGGACACCCTGCTCCGCGAGGCTCAGGGTTCTCTCTCTCTCTCTCTCCAAGATTAGTCTTGGTTTAGTCCTGGTTTAGTTCTGGTGTAGTCCTGTTTTAGACCTGGTTTAGACCTGGTTTAGTCCTGATGTAGTCCTGGTTTAAGGCCAATTTACGGTCCAGCGTCAAATCGTCTGCGTCGACGCGTCCGAAATTTTCTAACTACGCGTCAAAACGCCGCAGACAGCAGGAGAAGCGACGCAGACGATAAGAGCTGTGATTGGTCGTCTGTACCACCGCTCTACAGACATTTCCTGTCGGCTTTTCTTTCTTTCAATATACATTGAGAAATAATGTGTTTAATGCAGCTTTGTGCATATGTGTTTACATTTTACAGAAACAAAACTTAAAAATGGCTAACTTACATAAACAAAGCGCTTATAAAGCAAACAAAAAAAAATCGCTCCTGGTACGTGGTCAGTTTCTCTCGGACTTTAAAAGGACACGACTCAGTGGAATATGAGTGTTCTTTCTGTGACAGAGTCACATTGTGCTACAGTCACATTGGTGAGTCTGTTCTGTGCTTTTATCGCGTTGGAGATGGTTCATGTTAAACTTTTCAGAGACGTCTGCGGGTCACACACACAGACCATATATATGAATGGACAGATATCGTCGCCCCCTAGTGTTTTGGCAGTGAATTACTTTGCGGTGCACAGACCTCGACGCAGATCCATAAATAAAAAACGACGGCGACAGTGAGCGTTGAGTGGATGCAGAACTATACTTCAGCTTTTAGTCCTGAACCGCCCTTAAAATTCCAGAACATAAAACTCGCCCGTTTCAGCGACTATATGCCCGTATCCTTCAGTGCAGGTCTCTGTATCAACATATAAACATATCATCTTTATTACCTGTACGGAAATAAGATTTTAATCGCGCTCATAATGTATGTTAATTATAGGTGATTTTACCTTATTAAAGAAAAAAAAAACTGCGTGCTAATAGATTTAAACCTCATTAACGCAAATGCGTTGCAGTTATACACTTAATTCACAATGCACTTAATACACTTTAACATAAAATAAATGATAAAAAGCAAGTACAAAATGTGATGTCTGAAAACAGTGAGAAGATGTGCAGGCTGCAGCAGGAGCGTCTCTGACGCTCTGGTGTGAATTGAAACTTTGAAATTTAAAAAAATACGCGCAGCTCCGACTATGTTAAGGCTGAAGTATAGTTTTGCGTCGACTCACCGTAAATTGGCCTTTAAGCACTGCTGCTGCTCCTGGTGTGAATTCGGGGCTACGCAGGGCCTGTGCGTCGACCGACGTGTACAGGCGAATTACTTTGCGGTGCACAGACCTCGATGCAGATCCATAAATCAAAAACGACGGTGACAAGGCGACGGTGGCAGTGCGCGTTGAGTCGACGCAGAACTATACTTCACCCTTAACATGTCATGGAGTGTGTTTATGGGTAGAGGTTCGGTTTAGCTTGTTAACATTTGATTGGGCCAAGGCTCGTACAGAGCTGTGTTGCAATCGCGCATTTTGGTCGTCAGTGAGAAATCCAGTTTAGGGAGGTAGACTAAAGAAAGTATGATGATGGCTACAACTAGATTCTGCCCCAGAAAGTATTTCAGAAGTATTTGTCTTTTGGACGCATTCACACTTAACTTTACATTCTTGTAACCGGGATAGTGCGTTTACATGCACCATGAATCAAAAAACCCGATCGTAAGCAGGATACTGATGGTCATGTATATGCACTCATTATGACCAATCTGCATCAGATCGAATATAACACACTCATATACTGGCACGTTGAACAGAAGAAGATCTGCAGAACACAACTTTTAGTGCTTTTAAATAGTAACTGTTAGTAATAATAATAAAAAATAAAATATTTTATCAATTTAATTTTCAGTGTTTTAGAAAGACAGATATTTTGTTGTGATGTTTTGTAGTGACTTTCAATTGAAATTCAAACTCAGGTTTTCTACATTTCCCATGTTATTTTTTTCTCTCCACTCCATCCATCTGCTCCTGGTCCGACCCTTCTCTCAAATTTTAGAACCCTATGTGGCCCCCGAGCCAAAAAGTCTGCCCACTGCTGGTCTAATCCTTAGTCCAGACTCCACAATCCACTAAACCAGGACTAAACCAGGACTAAACCAGGACTAAACCAGGACTAAACCAGGACTAAACCAGGTCTAAACCAGGACTAAACCAGGACTAAACCAGGACTAAACCAGGACTAAACCAGGACTAAACCAGGACTAAACCAGGACTAAACCAGGACTAAACAACTCTTGGTCTGATTTTATAAAATGCATTTCCCCCAAAAAAGTGTGACTTATTTATGTTTTTTTCTTCTTCATTACACATTTTTGGCTTCTAGAAAAATAAAAATAAAAACACGTTGAGGTGTGACGTGTTTGTCAGAGTGACTCACGTTCTTCAGAGACGCTTCATGAGGCACAAACCCTGAGAGCATCTTCACGTCCAGGATCACCATGTTTGTGCTGTTCTGCTCTCCACCGTATCTGCACAACAACCGACAGGTCACAGTCACGCCTGCCGCACCTGCCGCACCTGCCTGAGTCTGCTGACAGGAGCGGGCGCAGAGGGCGTCATGTACTCACTCGGCCTGTAGGAGGAGCTGGAGCACCGAGCCGCCGCACTCCATCTGAGTCTCGACCTTCACCCCCAGAGTCCGGACCTCAGACGGAACCGGGACGTTATAGAACAGAGAGACCTGAAACAAAGAACTGAACCAGGACTGGACCAGGACTGGACCAAGGACTGAACCAGGACTGAACCAGAACTAAACCAGGACTAATCCAAGGACTAACCCAGGACTAAACCAGGACTAGTCAGTGCCCCTGTCGCTCAGACTGACCTGTATGGAGGTGCAGGCGCTCCCTGTCACCTCCACACTGTACTGCCCCGCGGCGCCCCCCAGAGGGCGCTCCTGGTACAGCAGCTTGTTGCTCGGCTCCACGGTGAAGGACAAAGACCCCTCTGTGGGCCGGTTCAGATCCCGGACCAGGACCGTGCTGGACCCGTCCGGACTGTAGACCACAGCAGAGTACAGGGACAGAGCCTGCAGCGCCACCACTGTGTCCTAAAGAGGAATTACACCTGAATCACACCACTGCAGTACTTACACAGTACAAACAGTTTACTACAAGTACTTGGAGTAGTAGTAGTAGTAGTAGTAGTACCTGAGTGGACTGGAAGCCTCCATAGGGGTTCTGTAGTAGTAGTAGTAGTAGTAGTAGTAGTAGTAGTAGTAGTAGTAGTAGTAGTAGTAGTAGTAGTAGTAGTAGTAGTAGTAGCTAGTAGTAGTAGTAGTAGTAGTAGTAGTAGTAGTAGTAGTAGTAGTAGTAGTAGTAGTAGTAGCAGTAGCAGTAGCAGTAGTAGCAGTAGCAGTAGTAGTAGTAGTAGTAGTAGTAGTAGTAGTAGTAGTAGTAGTAGTAGTAGTAGTAGTAGTAGTACCTGAGTGGACTGGAAGCCTCCAGTAGTAGTAGTAGTAGTAGTAGTAGTAGTAGTAGTAGTAGTAGTAGCAGTAGTAGTAGTAGTAGTAGTAGTACCTAGTGAGTGGACTGGAAGCCTCCATAGGGGTTCTGTTGTCCTGTGAGCCAGCGCACGATCTTGGAGGCGTAGCTCAGGTCCTCCACACCCACAGAGGGCGCCGTGAGGACGGAGAGGAGCACGTACGACGAGATCTCCACCGACAGAGAAGAAGAAGAAGAAGAAGAAGACCAGTGCACCTGACCACCTACACACAAGGACACAGATAATACTCCCTACAACTGTACAACTCACTCTTATGTCACAGATAATACTCCCTACAACAGTAGGGAGTCCCGGCCCTCGTGACGGTGGTGTTCTCACCTTCGTCTGTGGCTCGGGAGCTCAGTCTGTGGAGGAGCTGAGCGCGAGTCTCTGTGTCTCCAGCCAAACTGAACACATAGGCCATCAGAGCTGTGGTGTAGAGGTTCTCCAGGTTCTCCGAGTGGTTCTTCAGACACGAGAGGCTACGTTCTACCACCGAGTCCTGACCAGAGGTCACCAGGGTACACACGAGTCAATACAGGGTGCAAGGTAGTAGTAGTAGAAGTAGCAGTACCAGTAGTAGTAGTAGTAGTAGTAAAAGTACTTACAGATTCTGTCATGTTCATCTCCAGAAAAGCAGCTGTGATGTAAGCGCTGAGGGTGACGTCATCGGACACTCCACCCTAAAAAACACACAGGACTAAACCAGGTCTAAACCAGGACTAAACCAGGTCTAAACCAGGTCTAACCAGGTAAACCAGGACTAAACCAGGACTAAACCAGGTCTAAACCAGGTCTAAACAGACTAAAGGACTAAACAGACTAAACCAGGACTAAACCAGGTCTAAACCAGACTAAACCAGGACTAAACCAGGTCTAAAACTCAGGTAAACCAGGACTAAAAGGACTAAACCAGGACTAAACCAGGACTAAACCAGGACAGGACTAAAACTGGACTAAACCAGGACTAAACCAGGACTAAACCAGGACTAAACAGGTCTAAACTGGACTAAAGGACTGGACTAAACCAGGACTAAAACAGGTCTAAACCAGGACTAAACCAGGCTAAACCAGGTCTAAACCAGGACTAAACTAAACCTGGACTAAACCAGGTCTAAACCAGGACTAAACCAGGACTAAAGGACTAAACCAGGACTAAACCAGGTCTAAACCAGGTCTAAACCAGGACTAAACCAGGACTAAACCAGGACTAAACCAGGACTAAACCAGGACTAAACAGGTCTAAACCAGGTCTAAACCAGGACTAAACCTAAACCTGGACTAAACCAGGACTAAACTAAACAGGACTAAACCTGGACTAAACCAGACTAAACCAGGACTAAACTGGACTAAACCAGGACTAAACCTGGACTAAACCAGGACTAAACCAGGTCTAAACCAGGTCTAAACCAGGTCTAAACCAGGACTAAACCAGGTCTAAACCTGGACTAAACCAGGTCTAAACCAGGACTAAACCTGGACTAAACCAGGACTAAACCAGGTCTAAACCAGGTCTAAACCAGGACTAAACCAGGTCTAAACCTGGACTAAACCAGGTCTAAACCAGGACTAAACCTGGACTAAACCAGGACTAAACCTGGACTAAACCAAACCAGGAAACCACTAAACCAGGTCTAAACCAGGACTAAACCAGGTCTAAACCAGGTCTTCGGCTGGTCCCACCTTCATCCTGTTGTTGAAGAGTTCTCCTGATGGTCTGAAGCACCCGTCGTCCTTCTGTCGGCTCATGAGCCAAGTCCGGGACAGGGTGATCTTTGTTGGGTCGATGTAGACGAAGGCACGGGCCTTGG